CTCTTATGTGAAATCAGGACTTATTGTTTAATCTTGACTATAATGTCCCCATATGAAGGTTTCATTGCACTATTGGTCCTTTTTATCAAATGCCGTCAACTTTCTTCATCGAGTGGGCCGTGCTTAAATTTTAATTCAATTTTTAAGTTGTATTAAAGAGGGATTTAGTAAATTTATAAATAATTTATGAAAAGAAATAAAAGTGAATTTCATGAAATAAGCATGATGAGTATTGTAAATGAGTTAATTAAATGATTAATAATCAACATATATCTTAGATTATGACTTTCTCACTCAAAAATAAAAGGTTACTAATTATTCACTCATTTTATATAATATTATTCATTCATCATCTGTATAAATTATGTTCATTCATGAATGTTGTTAATGTACTTTAAATTGAGGGTCAAATATTTAATCGCATTTTCATTTATTTTGCTTATTTAAAATGATAATGGACAAATAAGTCTTTTAACTCTATCTTGAAGAAATTTTGGAGAGAAACCATAATCAGAAATAATTTATGTTAATTTGATAATAAGAATGCGATGGAAAAAAAATTGAGACTTAAATGTGATAATATATAAAAAATTATAAACATTTCATGCAATACAAATATATAGTCTAGTTACTTAAAAATAATGTTGTGGATATATTTAGCCATTTAAAAATGTCAAAAACTTTAATTTTATTTTATTTTGCAAAAATCATGTCATATATACGAGTACATGTGTTCATCTTATTTTAAACATCGGTAACTTATAATATAAATTTATTAGTGGATTTTAAACTTAATACAAATATTGAACCCTACATAAGTTTATCCATCAATGAACTTATATGAAACGTCAGGTGTTTAACATAAGATGAGTTGCTCATAGATCATTCATTTGTGTGTGCACGCTTCGGCGATCCTAACTGATTTTTATGAAAGGATAAATGAGATTTATTTCTCTTCACATGCTCCTATCCTAATAAACCTTAGGATTCTTCATACCATACACATACTCACCGACTATAGATAGAAACGTTCAATTAAGCCCCCGCTTGTCTCTCATTCTCCACCACATATTCATACAATAAAATAATCCACACACAAATTAATAAAATTTTCTTACTTTTTAACCACACATTCTCCATCAACTACTATTCTATAATACATAACAAGAAAGTAATAGCTCTCAAACAAGACCACAATCTTCAAAGTATCGATACTACAAAAAATTTCAATTTCGTTTTATTTTTTGATATGGGATAAATAATGCAGAGGCTAAGGTAAGCTGACATAGAAGCCAATCGAGTAGCAAAGCACCTTTTATCTTTGATCATAAGTTTCTTTACTTTTTAACAGCACATTCTCAATTAATCTACTATTCTATAATACATTAC